AACTTTAGTGAAACAAACTGAAGTGATGTTCATTTTGAGAAAATGACATTTAGTCGTAAATGTTGTGTAAAAAACAAAAGAGGTCTGGAATGGCAAGATCGATACACTTTGTTGTTTCGCAAAACACCGCGAACACCCTAAGTTGAGGTAAATTTAGACAGCACGGTGACCGTGGCAGACAGTGTTTATTAAAGTTTCAGGGTACATGGACCATGTTCATCCAAAAGTGCGTGAGCCACATTAGAAATTAACTGTGATGTGACGTTTATTAATGCTACCCTAGCGAGGCGACTGCATTATAAATGCAAAATGAAGAGTATCTCAGTTAACTCTGTCAATTCGGCAGATAGTTGATTATGTACGCTAGTAGTACGCTCGTCTAGAATAGGCAGATATATTAGGCAAGCACCTCTATATCAAAAATTGTCATCCATCCCGTGAGAGTATCGGTATAGCATGACACTTCCTAACGAATATTGTAGGAGTGTTACTAAGCGGCATATTTCAGCTGACAACATTTGTGTCTAACCGTAAAGAAGCTCTGAGAAAAATCTCACCTCAACTGCATGATTTGTCCATAGATTCGTCACACATACATTCGTTTCCATTTAATGAGTAGGCTTCAAAGGCTTTTGCTGTAGATTTGACCATTATTTTTACGTTTAATGTTTTGACGGTAATCGACGCACTCTCTGAAGATAAACCTAAAAGTCGTAAGGTAATTGACTTGATTCGGGTTGCAACTGATCCATTGTCTAGAAAGACATATCCACAATTTTCCTTATCCCCAGCCCTAAGGCGTAGTGATTAAAACAAGAAAAACACCCTCTTTTAGTGACTCTATGTACCCACAATGGCTTTCGTTTTTTCGCTCACTTGAACCACCCTGAAATGGAATGGGTTTATGCATCAATGGGTGATGCCGATCCTGGCAACCTTCGATAGTACACACAACACGATCTTTACGATCCACTAATCAGTGGCCCCTTCTAAGACAACAAAAACACATACCTTCTTCTCTCGCACTCTCCAACCTATCGTTAACTGCTAATGTGGCGAATCGGGAACATTTATTAATCTTGTGAATTTCTCCGCATATAACGCAAGATGACTTGCTAACGGCTTGATCAAACAACAACCATTGTGCGGAACAGGCTACTTTGCTTACAACCCGTTTACTAGTTGTTGCAATCTGCCCGAGTCTGCTGAGTATCATTTCCATTCTAGAAGATATAAATTCTGTTAACTCGGCAAAAATAGGCTCTCTTCCATGTGCTGTTACTTTTCCGACTGTTTCATCTCTAACGCCATGGGCAACGTTTTTATTACGCTTACTGTAGTTCCGACAAAGTTGAAATCCTCTGAATAAATGTAAGTAGAAAGTAAACCAAGAAAATTCGAACAATACTTTTTACGATAAGTACGTTCACAGATTATGACAAAAACTTGGTCCAACCAAAATGTCACCGTAAAAGCTATATTCCTATCAGTTAAGAAACCAAACGTACCAAGAGAAAAATGGTAGACAAATTCAGTTCGCTTCAAAAGTGAGCACTCATTTACAAAACAGGGGTTGTGCAGTGAATTTAGGAACTATATAACTAATTGCAGGTACTCGACAGCAAACATATCTATCTGATAGGGAAAGCAATTCAATCTTAGTTAGATAGAATAAAAGCAATCACTCAACAAGGGAACAACCAAAGCACAATAATCCAATTTAGCAATTACATAAAAAATATAATATGCAAAACAATGGTGAGACAATTACCAAATAACTTAACGACATGAAAAATTCATTCAGTTGCAGAATCTTTAGACAACATGAGGACATAATAAGTGCAAACGGACTGAAAAGTGTGAACGTGATATATTTAAATACATAGGGGAGTGAAAGAAGTATCGTATACAGAGTCGGATGAATGTTGTCAAACAGAATGCATACATGAGGATCTTAACAGATATATGAGAAAATAAAGACAGGACAACTCTCACGCCCATCCTGTGTACATTCGCATTGCAAAGCAACGGACGTAGGAACTCATTTTTAATAAGTTAATTTGATAAAAACCTAGTGTTCCGACTGATGGGAACGAATTTGCAGCGAAACGCAAGTGATAGCCTCGGACGTTTTGGGACCGGGATACTAGGCTATATGAACAACGAAGCAAGCCCTTCTTCAGATAAATATTTGGTTCACACAAGCTGTTGATATAAAGCCAACCTTAAATTTGTGCTAAGTTGGCTCAAGTTGTGAGTAGTTTCCTCTGAGCACAAACCTAAGTGGTCTGTGTCTAATGATTCGAGAACCACTTGAGAAATGGCGGGTCAACCAGCTAACTCCGAAGTCACACTTCATGGTTAGTACCCAAAGTGGACCACCCTTTCGTCGTGTTCAGGCACTATGATTATTGTGATGACCGTAAAACGCACACGCCGTCGTTACATATATTAGTCAGAGTAAGTACAAGGGACAAGTTGTGACCACAGCCGCATAGGTCAGTCCATGACGTGCAATTAATTGGTGCGCGTCGGTCATTTCGACCTTAATGATAATCGGTCAACCGTCCAATATTCAGTGAATAGGCTGACGCAGGATTCGGAAAGGGCCGTGACAATTCATTGGCCCTACATGTGTACGGGTACGGTTAAGCATACTTACATGGATACTGAACATATTGATGCCATTAGCCGTATCGTAGAAGAATCATCAGCACTATTCGTCTTGACTCATTGCAATTTAATTGCCATGGTAATTCGAAATCTGATGACTATTTTTCACTGCCATCTGGCTGAAGTTAGGGGGCTTGGGATCTCATGGCTGTCAAGGCAGATATTAACCAATTCTGGAACGAACATATTAATCACGGTGTACATTACTCTACTAAGATCCAAACTGAAAAACTGCGTACAAGCCGCGTGTTCATGTCTAAAAAGTGGCTTAGATACGGCAAAAAGAGTGCACAGAACAACTGTTTGTACAGTACTGGAACTTCGAGATTTTTCATACACGGTTCAGCATGACAATTTAGGCCTCTTTACGCTGTCCCACAATAGGTTAATAAGCGCCATGATTTTGACGAGCAGGTTACTTGGAAATAATTTTTGGCCTAGTATTATCCCTCTTATTCAATGAGTGGTAAAGAACAACACATAGACTATAACCGGTTAGTTTGCAATGCAATAATGAACAGAACTTTCATGGCAACAGGTATTCTTACTGATCGATCAACCCTAGTAACCCAATATTTCATAAAGTGGTGTCAACAACTTCAATTGAATCATTCAGAGACCCACAGTAGCATACCGGACAAAGCTTAGGGTAAACGTTTCGGGCTATTGTCTTCACACTCGCTTAGCCGAGGCAAATTACCGGAAAACTGGAAGTTGGCTCACATCACACCAATTTTCAAAAGAGGTGGACGAAATGAACCTTGAAGTTATCGGCCGATGGCTCTTCTGTCATTACCTTCAAAGCTCATGGAGTCCCTGATATGCGACGGTTTAAATGACTATCTACTGTCCTTAAATTTCTTCTCACCCCAACAGCATGGTTTCAGGAAGGGTTACTCTTGTATAGCCAACCTGCTGACTGCGGTGGACAAATGGACAAGCATCCTCGATTGCAAGGGAAAGGTTGACGTCATTTACCTTGATTTCTCAAAAGCTTTTGATAAGGTTAACCACTTGTGTCTTATCAACAAGCTCAAACGACTAGGTATCAAACCACCTCTAATCGAATGGCTTACTTCATACCTAAAAAATCGACACTTTAAGGTTAGGGTTAATTTCACTTTATCTCAGGCTATGGAATGTCCTAGTGGGGTCCCCCAGGGCTCAGTACTAGGGCCTCTTCTCTTCTTGATCTACATAAATGATCTTCCTCAACAGGTAACGTCAGACTTATTACTTTTTGCCAACGACGTGAAACTTTGGAGAGAGATACGCAACCAAGACGATACACAGGCACTTCAGGAGGATCTGACGCGAGTTCAAAGTTGAGCAGACGATAACGGACTTACCTTTAACACTTCAAAGTGTAAAGTAGTCCATCTGTGACATGTCGCAAACAACAGTTACAACTTAGGAAACTCCTCTTTAGTAGTATCCCAAGTCGAAAAAGATTTAGGAGTCCTGGTGCCCCATGACTTAAAGTCTTACGCTAACTGTGACAAAAATGCCTTCCGAGCAAACCTTGCACTGGTAACGTTGAAGCGCATTTTTGGACAGTTTGACGGAAGAACTTTCCATACAATCTTCAATAGTTTCATCCGTCCCCATTTAGAGTACGGAAACATAGTACTCCCCCCTCACTCCAAAAGGACAAGGTCACTTTGGAGCGTATCCAACGGCGAGCCACGAAATCAGTTCGAGGACTCAAATCTAAGCCTTACAAAGAACGCCTCCGTTCACTAGACCTTTATCCACTAGAATATAGGCGTCTTAGAGGTGATTTATTAATGGCTTATAGTATTCTTAACACTTCTGGACATCCTCTTAAACACCTACTTAAGCTTAGTTCGAATAATAACCTAAGGGGTAACACCCAGAAACTGGAAACACAACATAGCAGGACGGAATGTAGACGCAACTTCTACTCCTTAAGAGTTGTCAAAAGCTGGAATTCGCTGCCGGCTGAGCTAGTCCAAGCGACTTCTCAGGAGTCCTTCAAGAGGCAACTTGACCTATTCTTAAGGACCAAGGACAGCATCACATTATGATTTACCAATTTCTTTTCCTCTTTTATTGTTAACATACCTAGGTTCCTGCCTGGAGGATTTCGTGATCCCCTGCTACTAGACACGGAAGCCTGTTAAGCGAAAGCTTCTTCTATTCCGTCCACAACCATTTGATCCATTTGAACCAACGCACCATCCTAAATTCGGGTCTAAAAAATAGCATCATCAAGCTTTTACTAATACATTTAAAAGCAGATTGGATCGCGTAGTACCACTAATCTCGAATACAAGTAATGGATGAGTGGCTTTTTGTTTTTTTCATCAAAAACAAGTTGCGGGTAATGTGATGTGTTTTAATGCACCAGTATCTTTTAAAGTTACCTAGGTAAATAGCAACCAATTGATTATGAGTTGTCATGCAATTATGACTTATCGCTTCTACTGACTCGTTGACTTAGTAGAAGTAGACTTTAGAGGCTTAAGATTTTCGTATTCACCTTAGATTTATTGTTAAACATCAGTTGATATATATTTATAAGTCTTAGAATATATCTTCAGTTCTAGAGATGGACAAAACAATCTGGAAACTTATTTTCACACTGTATGTCTTGGCTCCAGTGTCAGGGTACAGTTCAATGTCGGAAAAATTAGAAGGACTGTTGTTGTCGTTGGATAAACTTATTTATTACTACGAACAACATAGCAGTGAATTTAATTTTGACGGTATATTTGGCCTAATACCTTTACAAGGTAAGGAATATTTTTATAAATCTTTCAGGAGCCCTTGAAAGTATTACTGATGAATCCCTGTATGAAAACTATGAAGAGGTCAGGTTTGCATTGTTACCAATGATGAGGAAACTTAAGATTCAAATTTCGAGGATAAACGCGGTCATTAGGAAAAGTGTGAAAATCTTTGAAAAGACAAGAGACCCCTACTTTATGAAAATGGGTCAACTTTTGGCACTGAAATGGACTTTTCCCAATCGGAACATCCTGTATTCTTTTTCATCGAATTCATTATTCATACCAAGCGTGCAAAATATTTCTAGTGATGATTGTATTATTCAGCTACTTAATGCCAAGCATTATGGGACCCTTGATTGTCATCTTTCAATGAAATGTATCCTAAAGCTCATGAACTTTCACTCTAGTGGTTATGAACTGGCTCACCAAGTTCTATACATTCTAATTTCACATCAAGTAATTCCGCATTCTATAATATTATCTATAGGTTAATTGTACTGATTCCCTGAATGGTATGTTGTCAAATCTCTCGACCAGCGTGGAAGTCTTACAAAATAAACTGTGTTCAATTTTGTTTCGAGACTTTGTTAAATTGTTTCTGCTTGTGGAAATGATCCCTCAAAATCGAGATATTTTACTTGAAAAAAGTACGTTTTCGACCCTGATTTCATGCAAAACCTAATTGCATTATTTCTACAATCTTGGCAGTTAATCCTGGTAATCTTACCTTATCATGATGTTTGAGAAACAGTGAAATGCTGACGGTACTACTTAAGTTGGGCATTTTTATTAATTTTTGTCTGTTATTGATTTTCCAAAAGTAGATCCTGTAGCATGGTAGTAACGCAGTAGCTCTCAAACTCAGTGAGCCTTGAATGCAATAAGAATAATAATTGAATGAATCTCTTAATGAGTGTGTACATCATACACTTTTTAACATGAGACACTGATTATGGCTGATATACACATTTCTTTTGAAGGTTTTTCTGTAAGTGGTATTTGAAGCACACTTCCTATCAAATCGGAATCCTATTCCTTATACTAATAATAAGTTTACTACTTGTCCAAAAATAATATTCTGCAACGGGTTTTTGAAGAGTTTATAAAGATAACAAAAGTAAACGTTTTAACATGTAAAGGAGAATTTTTTCATTTCCGGTTTTAAAACATCAAGATACTGCTTACTAAGTTTTATGAAAGTAGTTTGTACTAGTGGTAATCTCAATAAAGTTTTTAGTGTATGTAGTTTTGAATTGGTAGCCGTCTGAACATAGTACCAGGTTTTATTTCCACTTATGAATCAGTTGATTCACACCGTTGTGCAGTTTTAGAGTTATTACACAACTATACAAACAAAGGTAACTAGAGCAAAGTTTGAATCCGCTATTCAACATCTGTGGATTTCTTATACATGTCACTAGCCCACGGAGATATTTTATTATTTAAAACCGTCATTAATCGGTTGCAGATGGAATTTTCATTCTTTCTTAATCCAGTTAACTATATTTTTCACCTCATTTTCTATTTGTTTGATAAATTAAATCAATTAGGCGTTCATTTAGAGAAATGGTTTCAACATGTAGGTCGAACAGAAATGGTAAGAATAAGAAAGCATAGAAGTAAAACAACGTAAGAAATATGGACCTCATACGTAGTTAAGATTTTTTACAAAATGAAGCGTTACCATCAGTATTACTAACGTTACTTTCAAACTGCGTCAATCAAAGTTTCAGTCTTTTGTTACCCCAGACGATATAGAAATAGCGCTCGTAGTCATCCACACCATTTGTGGATTTAAGGATGATGTTCATATTTTGACCATAGACATTTTACCCGCGAAACATTTTTAAATCTGATACTAAAGTGGTTGGCAGTTGGACACAATTGATGCGCAAATGTAATTAGATCGCGTTTCTTGGAAGCATCAATTAACTCACTCTCATTTTCTAATAACGTGTTTTCTGACTTCTGAATAACTAACCTGATGGTCCTACAATATTTAAGTAGTAAAAAGCAATAACTCATCGGATGTATAAACCCATATTTCAAATTTCATCTTCATCAGACACGTTTGATATTCAGGTTGTACACCTTTTGGATGAATAAACCTATTTCCTGGTAATAAATTAAGTGGATCTATCAGCGAAGATTGATCAAATCTTCTACGTCCGAAGAACATTTTCATGTAAATTGCCTTCAATAACTGTAATATGAATAGTCCGCAATCTTAGGATACTCTGTTTACTAAAATCGTATGTAAATATATTTAATAAGTTGCATGTAACTGTTGCTTTAGCAGAAAACTATGGATGATTGTAGTTGAGATATTGTGTTTAAACAAGTTTTGGCTGAAAACTTCAAATACTACTTATACTTAAATTAATAATGAATGTTTTATGTTTAATTGTCTTTCTAGTGTTTGTGTGCGGAGGTCTTGGTTACGAAAATTTTATTCAGTTTTCTATTCTGAGCAGAATTTTGTCGTGGCAACAGCCTTCTGGATGTTTTATTTCTTCAGGTCCAGTAGATGAAAAAAGCAAGCATAGAAATACTAAAATCAGGTTTCACGAACGCCATCCCCTTGTTGAACGCAGACATGCAGGTGAGGTTGTAAATTTTCTTATTTTCAGTATATAGTATTTGTCAGCAGACACCTATTTTAAATTACTATTTCTAGGCTCTGTTCTTACCATTGACTTTCGTTGGTTTCGCTTTTTTGAGTCCAGTTTTTGAAAAATTTACATCAACATCCCAAACCGTTTAATTCCACCGTAAAATCAACATTTTCCCAAGTGTTAATTTTGAGCTCCCTAAAAGTTCACTTTGCGTACTTATGATTGTATTTTGAATGTTTTACTGTTATGCAAAACATGTAAGTATGATTCAGGATAGACATTTTAAACTTGCATAGAGATGAGTCAGTCAGTCAATCAGTTACAACGTAGAACTTCGTACGTACGTACATCAGTTTGAGTTGCCACATCACATTAGCGCAGAGATGCAGTTGTCGATTCAAATCCCGTATTGGTAGAAGTAGTAAAAGTATAAGCAGTAATCGGAAAGATTAAGGTTTGACGATGTTAGTCAAGGAGTATAATCCAGTGAAATAAATTCGGAAAGAGGAAAAAGGGGACATGAATTCAGAAGATTAGAAGTTGGGAGAACACAAAAAGTGGATTCACCTGCGCCATTGCAAACGATTTTGATCCATGTCGGTTGCTATCATCTCGCGGTCCCCAACCAGGTAGTCTACACCAACCAACATGGCTCAGTCCACTTGTCAGTGACTTCATGGACTTGTGCCGTGTTTTGGTCTGGCCGCCCCTATCTTCCTTCCAACCTACTCCTACACCATGAAACATTGCTCGTCAAGGCAGTCGGTTGTTGGCCATACGTAACACATGTCCCAGCCATCTCAACTGACGAAGTTTCAATACTTCATCAATTGATTTTCCATCCTTACCTAGTACCCGTTTCATAACAACTACATTACTTACTTGGTGGTCCCAGGATATATGTTTCGAAGACACCTATAATCGAATACTAGCAACCTACGAATATCACTGCCATAAAGTAGGACGGAACGAACAGCTGCGCAGTAAACACGTTCTTTGGTTGATAAACGGATATCTCGCCTACACCAGAAATGACGCAAGTTGGTAAAAGCTAGTCAAGCCTTCTGTATCCGTGCTGAGATTTCGTCACACACCAGACCACAAGGGCTGATGAGACTTCCAAGTGAAGCGGTCGACACGCTCAACTACATCACTCCCTATCATTAGTTCGGGTGTCGATCCAACCCAATCCTGAAGCAACATTTTGCATTTCGATGTGGAGAATCGCATCCCGAACATGCTTGCATTGTTGCTTGGAGTGGTCAGAAGACTCTGCATTTTGTCAGAGTCTTCATCAAAGTAGAACTGTGTCATCGGCATATTCTAGGTCAGAAAGTGAATCTCGTGGTAGAAGTCCAACTCCTGGAAATTTAGATGAGGAGAGTGTTATCTCTAAAAGCACATCAACGACAAAGTTGAACAAGAATGGAGAGAGTGGACAACCCTGACGAACACCACTTGAGGTAATCAATTCTGATGACAGTTCGCCATAAGCTCTCACTCGACCAGTTGTGTTCGAGTAGAGAGCCTTTATAAGGTTAATGTACTTCTTTGGTACTCCTTTCAGTGACAAACACTGCCATAGAACCTCACGATCAACAGAGTCAAATGCCGCCTTAAGGTCGAGAAATACTACGATTGTGGGGCGTCTGAACGTAAGTCTGTGTTCTAGAACCTGACGTAGTGTGAATATCCGATCTACACAACCACGTCCAGGTCGAAAACCAGCCTGAGTTTCTCTAGTCTGTTCTTCACGAGCTTTAGTTAGGCGTCGAAGTATTATTGAAGCTAATATTTTAGACACCATATTAGTCAAACTGATTCCTCTGTGATTGTCACAAGAAGACTTTTGTCCTTTCTTATAGACTGGCACAATCAGTGATTGAGACCAGTCAGATGGGATTACGTCCAGTTCCCAAATCCTACCTAAGACCTCGGTTAATCTCATTGCTAATACTGGACCACCATCCTTAAAAATCTCAGGAGTAAACCTGTCAGGACCTGCTGCTCACCCTCGCTCCAGATTTCCTATGGCTTTTTCAACTTCGTAAAGGGACGGAGGACCCACATTAACTTGCCATGCAGTTTGACTGGAGATCGTGGGAAACCGAAGTGTGGCTGAAGGCCAGTTGAACTGATCCCCAAAGTGTTCTGTCCATCGATCCAATCTCCTGGATTGAGAATGTATAATATGTCCATATCTCTCTGAAATTGTTTCGCTAACAGTTGGGTCCTTAATACCGGTCTCCTTAACAAGTCTGAACAATTGTCTGCTATTACCTATCGCCGCTGCCTTTTCCATCTCTCTTGCTTTCGCTACCCACCACTGTTCACGATCATTGCGTAGGCTTCTTGTTAGCTTGCGCTTAAGCTGACTCCTCTCTTCGTTGTGTTCAGAGCCAGATGAAATGAATTTTCTGGAATGTGCTTACACTGAGTTTTCAAATGTAGTTACACCAATGACACTTAAAACATTTACATGATACGCCTCAAATAAGTCATATAATGTGAAGAGAGCTGATACATTGAAAGAGTATCTTCAATGGTTTTAAAAATAGAGTCTGTACTTGACATTAAAAATACATGTAATTCAGTTCGAAACTTTCTAAGTAACATTCAGCATGTCTTATCTCCTCATACTTCAAAAAATGCACATCACGTTTACCATGCACTTTTAAAAAAGATTATCTTATCGTAAGATTAAGTCAAATATTTGTGGTACTGATAAAAGTCGAGTATCTACTGTTATTACCTATTTTGATAACTATTTCTTATCAAGGAAAAGTAAAACTAATTAAAACACTCTATACTGACCATTACTGGAATAAAGTGTGTCCGACAAGTACATTTCATCATTCTCTTCTTATTTAATAAGTCATTTACTATTAAGACTACTACTTAGTCTAAATATTTTATTCCAATTATTGGTACTGTAAAAAATGGTACCCGTCAAGTACATGTAATTTTCTTCTAAATATCTATTTTAACAATTAGCATTAGACTGAAGATAACAAAATTTATGCAAATACTAAATAGGAATAATTCTAGAATAGTATCTGGCTTTTCTTTCTTTCTTTTTTTTTACCTAAAACTGACTTCAGTTTCAAATATTGCGATCTAGTATAGGGGTTGTGAAGATTATTAAGTTTTTGATTGAGATCATGAACCGATTGATGTTTAAACGGTCATCTTTTTAGTTAAAAAGAATGTGTCATCGGTAGACTAATTAGATAAAAATAATATAGAATCAATAAATTTGAAGCGATAAGTTATTAGCAACAATTGAAAATGACTTTACAACAATATATTCACTTGATCTCACATAGTAGCATAATGATGGTGACATTGTGCTTCAGTATTTGTCAACCCAACGTAATCTATAAGAAAAACAGTTTAGATTTATCATATTTATGTGGAAACTATATATTTCCCCAGTGCATTACTTAGTATTATTGTATTAAATAAATCCCAAGAATAATAACAGTTGATCAATCACTAATTTTTTAATAAACGGAATACACCCATTAAGACATTAAATAAGAAAGATTGGTTCAGTGAATTCATTTTCAAAGCTGCACAATTGCAAATATATATACTTATTTTTACAGGATGATAATAATACTGATAATATAAAGTTTTCTTTCCCACATCGGAATACCGGATGTTTATTTGAAGGAACTATTACTACGTTGCACTTGCAATGTACAGTTCACATTCAACAACATAATTTATAGACAGAAGGATGGCATAGCAATGGGATCCCCACTTGGTCCATTACTAACAGATTGCTTCATGGCCAGTTTAGAAAACAACCAACTCAAAACGAGTTTAAGAAACCTCCATTTGTATAAAAGGTACGTAGATGATATCTTCATCATTTGTGACAATAAATATGACTTGAGTTATCTCCTAAAGACGTTTAATAACTGCTACCCAGTAATAAAATTCGCACTAGAAGTTGAAAGCAAACAAAATATTCACCTTCTTGATGTAGAAATGACAAGAAAGCAAGATGGTACTCTAGGAAGATCTATCTACAGGAAATCAATGTGGAATGGCAAACTACCAAGTTTCCACAGCTGGGTTCCCGTCAGTAGAAAAAGGAACTTAATAATAACACGCCACAAGAATATGAAGAATCTGTAATCCCGAAGTCATAGATGAAGAATTGGGCCTCTTAAAGGAGATACTTATCAAAAACTGGTATCCTTCGATATTCATTGATAAGAACATAAAACCGAAAACACAAATAATTACAGTGAAAAAGAAAACTTTATATTATCAGTATTATTATCATCCTGCAAAAATAAGTATATATATTTGCAATTGTACAGCTTTGAAAATGAATTCGCCGAACCAATCTTTCTTGTTTAATCACTAATTGTTTTTTCTTGGGTTAATTTCAATATAGTTTTATAAAGTAATCTAAGACAAACATCTGACATGTATGACCTCTGATTGGGGTCCTAGAGATGGTCGAACAGTTGTTTGAGACGTTCTCAGAAATAACTCAGAAGCCGGTGGCGTTCCCTCCCAGACCTTCTTTCACTTTCTTCATAAAAGTGAACGTAACTTCTTTAAATAAAAGAATTATTCAAGGTTGTATTTTTCACAACTAAACTGCTTCTCCCATTATGGCTATTATTACTTCACTCTCACACACTAATTTCTGTTCCTTGTTGCTGTTCTTTTTACCATACTCACCCTTCATTCTCCGTTTTCTCACAACCTGATTTGTAATGTTTGATGCATACGTATTTGGTGCCGCCTTGTACCACTGTTTATATATTAAAATGATAAATAATAGTAATTGAACAGTTCGAAGCATGTGCTAATATTGGTTACTAGTTAAGTAATATGATGGTTTTCGTACTTTGCAGTGTATTTTTAATAAATATCAAACTAGTCTCTCTACTTAGGAAACCCAGCTTGTTAACACTAGCTAGATGTATTCCAAGTCTGACTAGGATGCATGATGGTGAACCTTCACTGATAATGATGTCCAAGGGAAAAGAGTAAAATGCTAAACTCTATACTCAAGGGAACTTATCTTACAGCTAAAGCTACCCTCTTTTTAAGATGAACATATCCGTTAACATAGTGAAAGGTTCACAGATGTACATCTCACGTATCGATTTACATGTATATAACACAGCAGTTGTGTTAATAGAACAAGAATAAGGGTTTACTTTGGACTGCCTGAACGAACCCTAAGAAGCCTGGGATTCTGAGGTATCTGACTGATATATGCAATCACATTAACATTCACTATTGATTAGCCTCCTTTCCATTATCACATTTTAAATATCAGATTTCATTTCAACGTCTGAGTTATATAAGTTGTAAGCAGCTGATGAAAACCTAGCCAAACGAGTCCCTGGTATTCTTTAAAAATTGCTACTCTTGTTTTCGTCAATATAGTATGGCAAACTACTTATACGAGATCGAGTGATAGTCGATGAACCACTGTCTATTCAAGTAATCGCTTCACGATAATTCTTAATTCTTCTGGGACTGTTAATGTATTGGGTGCTCTGTGATCAAAGACCCCAGAGCTTTTCTTACTGATCTGCATATATGATTTTCGTTTAGCCTACTTTGATTGTGGAAGTCTGATAGTTTGAAGATGTGTATAGAGCCCTTCACATAGTTCCTGCAATTATTTATAATTTGTTATTCCCGTTCCTTTCTTCGTTATTATTGACTAGTCTTTTGAAACCACATTTTTCACCTGAATATTATTCCAGATGGTTGTCTATCACATATGACTTCTGTGGCTGCCGCTGTGATGGGTCTGTATTTGAGAGCGTTTTTCATCCCCACAGGGTACATTGATGGATATTCAACCGATTCAATGCCTATTATATGGAAAGTGTTTCTGGTCAGATCATATACGTGAGCATATTAATATTGATTTTCGAGAAATTTATCATCTAGTTATACACTGACGTTTTATTACTGTACAATGTTTAGTATTGGGAAAATAGTCGAAATTCTATATTCCAATTATAACTCAAACCCATTCATTTGTTTCCCAGTGAGGAAGATGATCTACAGATCAAGCAAATTCGTTTGGTAGTACTGTGTTCCCGGACCTGGGTAATTTGATTGTGAAGGTTTGACAGTTGTAGTAGATAACGTTTTTAGGGTTTACCTCGTACGGAAGTGGGCATTTTTCATTATTTCACAAACGTTTAATGAGTTTGTACTTATGGCTTTGTTTGCGATTGTACATCTGCAAAGGATATGCTGCTTGTTTGCGTTTATTAATTGCCTATTGTTTTGAACACCGTTTCTGAACATTCTCTAGAAATTTTAGCATTTCCGCGACCAAGAAGTTCGACTTTTTTTCAAGCAAATTTATGCTAATGGTAATCTCGACCCTATGGTTTCATGTCATGTCCAATTAATGCAGTAAAACAGGAAACCAAATGAAGACAAACGTGGTATCATCTATAAAATTAATAGCACTGATTGTGAGAAAAATTATATTGGATAAGGGGGAGACAACTAATAACAAACTGTAGCATAAGTACAAAGTCATTTAACATTTATGGAACTAGTGAAAAGCTCACTTCTGTAAGAAGTAGGGGTTGATGATATTGTCCAGGGAAACAGTGAAAGCTTTGAGGTTAAATCATTCAGCTCTTAAAACAAAACGGAAAACATGTTTTTCACTTATTTTTTTGAATTAAATTTTCTAGATTTGAAAAATGTTTTAGATGAACGTAGTTTAGCTGACGTTAACCCTCATCTATTTGGAGGTATTTTTGAAATTTTCATCTGTTTTGCCAACAATACGATTAGCACCATTTTGAAGGGGAGACATAACCATGAAGAAATATAGCTTGACATAGTGTTAATCAATGATAATAATAATCCCAAAATATTCTTTGTTAAGACTATTTACATTTTATATTATCGAATAATTATTAAACAGCCGCGTATTTATTATAAACCAGTCGCATTCGACTTGTTGATACGGAGTATGGATAAAGAATATCATGTATATATAATACCATTTACAGCAGCTTATGTTTGACTAAAAATATAAGCATCCCTTCATTGAGCTGAAACAACTTAACCCTTCGAATTTAATTACAATTTAAAAAATGATAATTGATATTTTAATACAAATAGATCGTGGAGATCGTAGAATTTTCAGAGTTTTAAACTGATTTTAGATAAAACACCATTGAAAATCTAAAATCACTAGACAGTAGTTTTGTCGTACTATGAGACTAAACGGCCGTCAAGTGGTTCCATGTTTTCAACGGTGTTCTATCTAAGATTAGTCCATGATTTATAACTGTGACAACTGACATTTTTTTGAACTTCTATTTTACTGTTATCGACCTAATATATTTCTGGCTTTTAGTTCACTTCCAAAACTGATAGAAGATGATGATAATCAAAGTGGAATTTCAAATCAAAATATATTAAACTCATTTTCAAATCGATTAATATATATTAAAGAACCAATATATTTATCAACCCGGATCCCATTTAGTTTAAGTTATTCAACACATTTTCAAGGAAAACTGGACGAAATAAATTCCGATTTTTTATTTGTTAGTATTTTACTTTTATGTTCTATTTGTATTTTTCTCTATTTATTATTACGTAGTTTTATAGTCTACTGTGGGTTTTTCAACTCATCTAAACCAACTTTAAAAGTATAAATAACAGAAAAGAAACTGTACTCTATAATTTATCATTCATATTTGATTCTTTTCAACTTACCATTCGGTCATTCTAAATAAAATTTTGTAAAAACGTTTAACTGTGATAAAAATTTATCTTTTAATCGAAAAAAAAATATTATAATTTTATTCTTAAAGTGTGAATTACTTTAACACACACACACACACATTACAATTTACTATGAACTATGATAGCAAGTGTTATAGAATGAATCAGATATATAACATAGTCAATCAATTATTTTTTGTCATGCGGCACAAGTAAAATGGCCACATAAAATATTCCATTAATTATTCAATGATAAGTTACACTCAGTGACACACAAGTTCTTCACAGTTTGATTATACAATAATGTAGGGTTTATAGGATGTAGGATATATATATATATATATATATATATATATATATATATATATATATATTAGTGTAAACAATTTCTGATTATTTAGAAGCTATCGGTTCATAAAAATCATTTTTTTTATTTTGTCAAGTGTTATGCTATCGCACATTAGGCATGGATAAAAATTAACATGTCATATTCTTTTCGAAATGAACAGTCAAATGTACAGTTTATAGATAATTATTACGAATTAGTAAAAAGTGGAAGCTTTTTTTATCGGTTCACATGAATGTATGTGGTATTACTTACTTAACCCTAATAACACTCGTGGATTATAAGCCGCCGACTATCATAATCCCATCAACATTACCCTGGACTCTCATTTTCGACTATCATCAATCACGTAGACAACTGTTTATAAATACCTGTAACATTTTGATGATGGTTGTATTAGTTCTTCAAATTTCAACTTCGTAAAATAGAACTGTCTTGATGCTCATACTGAAAAAGCTGTCCACTGTATTCCGCGCTCTCCTCAGATGTGAAGGCTTTCATAATCTGGTTGATCACCACAAGAAATAGAGAGAATGAAATGAAACAGAATTGTCTGACATCCATCTTCACTTACACTGCATTTGTGAGCTATCCTTCATACACGACACTACAGTATAGTTCATACAATGAATTGCGTATGTTGTTGATGATCTCCTCACATATATCATAATGTCGAGGAAGATTCTATAGTTATATCCTATCCACGCTGTTAAATGCTTTCTCATAGTCAAGGACGTTGATGTATAGTGACGAGTTCCATTCGATCGATTGCTCAGCAATGATTTGTAGTGTCACAAATTGCTCTGTGCACGATCAATCCTCACGAAATCCAACCTGTTGATCATGACTTTGTGCGTCTACTGAATCTTTCATCCAGTTCAATAACACTCCGTTGAAAACCTTTCCTGGTACAGACTGTAGTGTGATGCCTGTGTAGTTCTCACACTTGCTCATATCTCCTTTCATTGGTATGTTGATGAGTTATCATTCTTTCCATTCTGCTCTATTTGTTCTTCCCTATTCTTGTTGAAGAGAACCTAAAATATCTTTGCATTTCATTCTATGCATAATTTCATTGATTCAGCTGTTATGTTGTCTGGTACTACCAACTATCCAAACTTGATCTGTCCGATGACAATGCTGGTTTTTTCGTTTGTTGATGGGGTGGCACCTATAAGAATGTCTGTGTATGTTGCTTCGATGTTGGTGTGTTCAGTGGAGCTGGTCTATTCAACAGTTTTGCAAGGTGTTCTACCCATCTGTTCGTCTGTTGTTGGATTTCAGTGATCGTCTTGCCTTCTTTGTCATTCACTGGTCTCTCTGGTTCACTATATCTCCCTACTATATTCTTCGTTGTGCCACATCTTCCATTCACTTGCTCATTTTCCCACTGTCATTACTAGGTCTTCTACGAATTCCTAATTGTCGGCTCTACTACTACTACTACTACTACTACAACTACTACTACCACTACTTACTCCTTACTCACTTGTTCGCTTCTGTGTATTCTGTTTGTATTTTCGCATTTCCTGCTCTTGTTCAACCTTTGTTGATTGCTGTCTTCTTGTTTATTTGGTTTCTGATATATTCCTCAAGATATCATTCGAGATCGATTCTGTATGATGATGCTACTTGCAACTCAACACATCCTCGTATGTTGAAGTTATGGCTTTTCTAGTCTCTTTCGAGTTTACTACATGATAATTTACTCTTCTTCGTGTAGATCTTGTAATGCCTGAAAACTGTTGTTGAGAGCTATTCTGAATTCAATGAGTTTGTTAGTATTTTGAAGAAAGACTCCATTGAACTTCTGTAATGCTGTTTCAACAGTTGTCCAATGCTTCGATAACTTCGATTTCATCTTGGCAATCACCAGGTAGATTATGATGATGTGAAGCAATGTAGTTGCTCCTCTCTTCGTTCTCATGTCTTCCACTGTCCTTTGAATTTTTTATTGATGCAAATGTGATCGACCTGATTTCCTGTGATGCGATACACTGAGACCAATGTGATTTGTGTATGTGTTTGTGAGAGAATATAGTGCCACCTAAATCATTTTGTTAAAGACACATAGATCATCAAATCTGTCACCATCCACGTTCCTTTCTGACAGTCAGTCCATGTATTCCAAAGATATTTTCATACCCAATGTTGTCCATTCTGACCTTAGCACATCAAGATGTTCAGGTGGTTTCCCATACACTTCTCGACGATCGCCTATAACCTCTCATTAAACCGACCTTTGTCATGTTCATTGCTATAATTGTTGGGTGCATATGATTAGACAACATTCATCGTGATTCACTTGATCCGTGTTTTGAAGAATGATTTGCTGATTGTGAATCCATGAGATTTCGATGGTGTAAGTGCTTTCCGTATTTTTCTGGACGTCATCAGTGCAACTCCATGTGTGTGGTATTCATTTTCTTCCTTGAAACCAAAGTACAGTAGCATCTCTCCCGAATATCATATTGTCTGTCCAACTTGATTGAAATGAGTTCCACATGTTTCGGGCACGGCCAATTTGTATTGCCTCATTTTCGCATATATTTGACTAGTCGTCCCTTCTCACATGTTGTTCGAACATTCCATATGCTTATAATAATTGTTGTTCTGGTTATTAGAAGTGATATCTGTGTTTTAAATTGCGAAGAATCTCGGCTTTCACCCTGAAGCCTTATAATTTTCCCTAATGAAGATCCTTAAACCTCCAGGATAGATTTCTAATGGTTTAAATGACTTTTTGAATTACTATTTTTGACAGAGTTTTGTTTTACGGGCTGGGGATACTGAGTCCATGTCAAACCCTCCTCCTTTATTCAGACTTGTGACCTGCAGCAATCTTTCAAGAGTTTCAGATAGTTTTTTAACTAATATTTTTAAAAGTCACTTTAATGATCCTAAAAACTGTCCAAAAATAAATTGGTTGTATCAAACATGTTCATTCCCTTTAATGGATACAAATGCTAATTGTATTTATAAAAATGGTGAAATTCAGAATTTAACATCAGCGAAAATCATCATGTAAGATTTTGTTTTATTTCAAAGACATTATCTCAAGTTTATATTATTTAGAAAACGAAATTTATCAAAGAGTTCTTTCTCGAACTGTTCATCTACCAGCCTATAACCTCTAGATTTCAAATAAAGAATGACACTTCTAAACTTTAGATGGTGGTTGGAGGTAGTCAACAGGAAACCCTGGACCCGGGTTTCGTGCTACTTGGCACTCGTCAGCAAGGTGTACCTGTAATCTTGAGGGAACTGATGCTCCCTGGCGGATTCGATCTCGTGTCACCCAGCTTCACAGTCAGAGACGTTACCACGGCTCGGATAGCTCAGTGGTAACGTCTCTGGCTGTGAAGCTGGGTGACACGAGATCGAATCCGCCAGGGAGCATCAGTTCCCTCAAGATTACAGGTACACCTTGCTGACGAGTGCCAAGTAGCACGAAACCCGGGTCCAGGGTTTCCTGTTGACTACCTCCAACCACCATCTAAATCTCAATACATAGTACCCGCAGTGTCCAGTCACCTAGACTGTTGGCCACATTGCAACATGATCGATAGCATTCAATCTGCACTAATAAGGACTAGACAAGCATGACATTGATCACCACCCAGTGATCAATCAATTGTGACACTTCTAAACTTTTGAGGTTGTTGAATATTAAAATGGTAAACAAATTTTCTCATTTCTTGAGTGTATCTATTAATCATATTATAAAGTATAAATGACACGATATTTGTTATCAAATAAAGCTTCCTTAATAAATTCTGTTATCAAAATGGTATTCATTCTTTACATTATAAATTCATGTATTATTTGTCAAATTATTTATTTATTTCATATATTAATGCCTATACATGTAAACTGGTTAAAAGACTGATAAAATTATATTCACAACTAAACAAATGATATAACTGCCAGTAATTAGATTTCATAATAACATAAGTAAATGAAAGAGTTATTCTATTTTAAACTGTTAAAATAAACTTTATTAGTTAAATACTCAATATGTTCTAATCAGTATATAATGAATTAACATTCTAGTAATAAATCATTATTATAAACAACTTTATCACATATATTATAAACAATTTATGTCAATTTGGGAAGACCTAATTGTTTTTCTAATGAATAAAATATGGAACATTTAAAGAAGACATTCTAATTCAATCTTGATATATTTCATTGCTATTTAATCAATAACAAAACGGTCGAGGCCCGGATAGCTCAGTGGTAACGTCTCTGACTGTGAAGCTGAGTGACATGGGATCGAATCCGCCAGGGGGCACCGGTTCCCTCAAGATTACAGGTACACCTTGCTGACGAGTGCCAAGTAGCACGAAACCCGGGTTCAGGGTTTTCTGTCGACTACCTCCAACCACTATCTAATCTCAGAATGAATAGTTTATCATCAAAAAGGTTTTTATTGTAAATGTAAATTAATTCTGTCTCTCGATAATATTGTTCAATACATTCTAGAATGGGTGATGGTTTGTTTTTTCTGTAGTAAATTAAAACTTAATGAATGGTATTTAAATTTTTTCTCTTTAAAAACGAGAACCTACGAAATAAAAATGAATTCATGCTATTCTGCTAGAATCGTTGTTCATGCTATTTTCAAAATGATAAAGGTAACTACGTGTATGTAATTTCTTGCAAAATATTATGTTTATTATCAGAATGGGTTTTTGTGGATA